GTTAACGATTTATGGAAAAATGAAATGTCTGACTCAGTGAGTCTTGTTCCCTAATTAATCTAAAAAATGTTAGGGCCTGGATGTTCATCAATTGGGTACGGAGCAACAGAGGAGTTAGGCCCTTTCTTCGTTCAAAAGGGCAGCGAACTGAAGCTCAAGTTCAACCCTTACACGTGGAACAATGGTTGGCTGAATTTTGACTTTGTAAAGACAACAACATTTGTATTTTCTTTCCTAATAATGATCTTCTTTTTTTTTTTTTCTTTTTTTTTTCTGTGTTGTGTGTAAATTTCAGCTGCCAATTTATTGTTTGTGGAGTCTCCCGTGGGAGTGGGATTTTCTTACACGAATACCAGTGAAGATATCCGGCAACTTGGCGATAAAATTACAGCTGAGGATTCTTACAACTTTCTCATCAACTGGTTTCAACGGTTTCCACAATACAAGTCTCATGACTTCTATATGGCAGGAGAAAGCTATGCAGGTAGAATTACAAATTACAATGGAAGCTCTTAATTATTATTTGCTTGCTTACTTCATGTGATTTATTTATGTTTTAGCTTGTGTTTAGTATCATGAAACTTTAATTAACTATATATCTATCCTTTTATATATATATATATATATATGCATTTTACAGGGCATTATGTTCCACAGCTTTCTGAGCTCATCTTTGACAGAAACCAGAACCTGTCCAAGGAGAATTATATAAACTTGAAGGGATTCATGGTGAGCTTTTATCATCTACTATATATATATATATTGCTCATGTTTTTGGTTTGTTTACACAAATGAACATGAAGACTGCACGCAATGGAATATGCAGATTGGGAATGCAGTAATAGATGATGAAACAGATCAGAAGGGAATGATTGATTACGCGTGGGATCATGCGGTCATCTCTGATCGCTTGTACCAGGATATCAAGAACGAATGCGACTTCAGTGAGAAAAAGTTATCAAGACTGTGTAATAAGCTGATAGACGAGTACTTTGATGTCTACGAAATCATAGACATGTACAGCTTGTACACTCCCACGTGCCTCAGTAACAACAGCAGCGCCACCACCGCTACCAGGCAATCCCGCACCATGCAAGGCGCCCCCACTCTGTTTTCGAGACTTGTAAGTTCCCTTCCTTCCCATTACATGTATAATTACATAACAAAACAAAGCAAAGCAAAATGCCGGAGGAGGAATGAATGAGATTGAGAGTGAAAATTTGCAGGATGCAAGGCACAAGAGACCAGCAGGTTATGACCCTTGTGCATCAGAATACAGTTATGTGTATTTGAATAGGCCGGATGTTCAAAAGGTACTGCATGCCAATGTCACCAAAATTCCCTATCCATGGACTCACTGCAGTGGCAACATCACCTTCTGGGAGGATGCACCACCCTCCATTCTTCCGGTGATTGGAAAGCTTGTAGCGAGCGGCCTCCGGGTTTGGATTTACAGGTAGCTTTGCTGTCGTACTAACGTTATTTGCAGGATGAATTCAATGAATGAATTGCTGCGTTTGGTTTGGTGACATGACATTGACATTTGTGCAGTGGGGATACTGATGGGAGAGTTCCAGTAACATCAACAAGATACGCCTTGAAAAAGCTGGGATTGAAGATTAATGAAGATTGGACTCCTTGGTACAACAACAAACAGGTACTCTCATCGGTTCCTGCCTTGTTGCTAACTCAGTCTAGAATGCTAAAATAAAATAAATTGTTTACTGATCGTGTTTTTGAATTGATTATCTCAAATTTTGATAGGTTGGCGGGTGGAGAGTGGCGTACGATGGGCTTATGTTTGTGACAATTAGAGGAGCAGGTCACCAAGTTCCGGAGTTTGCACCAAAGCAGTCGCTCCTCCTGGTTGAACACTTCCTGGCTAATAGGACACTCCCATCTAAACCATTTTAAATTTAACCACTCTCCCTCCCTCCCTCCCTCTTCTTCATGTCAATAAAAATACAACATTTTACGATTCTTTGGAATTTGTAAAGTACTAGTCAATTTTATTAGTCACACAGAGACAGACTTCAAGTCCTTAAGTGGTAATTTTTGTAACTTTCAAGCAGTTGAAGGAAAGAAAGAAAGAAAAACAAATAAAAATCAAAAGCCTTGGTGAACTTGCACAGAATAGAGAGAGAGCGAGAGAGAGAGAGAGAGAGAGAGAGAGAGAGAGTCACAAAATTTTGGCTATTATGAAATAATCTCAGACAACAACAAATAAGCTAAGCCTATCGTGTCACTGATTTCTCTTCTAAATTCTAATATACAATCAATGAAACAATCATCCTTCTTCAAATTGTACCAACACACACTCTAGCAACAAAAGATAAAATACTAATAACACAACAGATGGCCCAAAGGATGATAAATGAACTCGTTGGTTGCAATCACAAAAAGTTGCATACGAGAGTGAGGCATTGACTTCCGCTGCTTTCTCTCTATTATTACGTCTCACTTTTAACTATCAAAAAAACCAGGACCTGCTCGTGAAAGAAGTTCCTGGCCTGCATCCTTACCCATGTTGATCATATCTTGAAAGGCATATGTGCCTTTCCTCGAAGTTTCCAGTACTGAAATATAGACACAGGGAAGCATAATTAGTGCCATATATTTTTTCTTTCTTTTAAGTTTACAGTGGAGAATAAGGTTAGACTTAGACAACTGAGTGAATTTTCCTCAGACTATGAGCATGAGCATACCACGGGTTCCATCAGGGGAAGCCACCAACCCTTTGAATATGCAATTACCATCCCCATCTCTGCTAGCATATCCAGCAATGGGAGTCCGGCAGGACCCATCCAGGGTCAGAAGAAACGCCCTCTCACATGCAACTGCTAGCCTTGTTTCCTCGTGATTCAATGAGGCTATGTAATTAGCCTGCACCCAAAAGACCAACAAAAAATTGAATAATGTTTTGGACAGAAATAAAAAAATATATATATGTATAAATATTCAATCACCAGAGAAAAGGTTATATCACTAGTTTTTTGTTGTTGCTTAAATTCTATTCATCCATGATTTTCAAGCTACAACTCATTCAAACTAAACTAGCTTAGAATTGCTTCGCTTTAGCAATTGTATAACACTTCTAGACAAATGCACAAGTGTGTCGTTGGCCCAATTTAATGAAGTATTTTAACCAACTAGCATGAAAGTAAAATATCATTCAATATGGAAGCTCCAGAATAGAAATGTGAAGATTGAAACGCACCATTTTATCATCATTGCTTCGGCAGGCAATTCCAATTGCCCCTTGTGCAACTGCTGGAAGCATTTCATCTAGTGAAAGAATTGAAGTCACATTTTCCGTCATATCTAAGCGTTTGAGTCCAGCTAAGGCCAATAAGGTTGCTTGGACTACCTTTTCATTCAGTTTTCTCAGCCGTGTCTGGACATTTCCACGAAAATTCTCTAGCACCTACAAGATGATATTAACCAAAAGATGAATGAGAAGCAACAGAACATGTCAGGAATCCATCCAACGGCCTAGGAAAAACACAAGCCCATGACTTTCAAAAACTAGCCCATTAAATGCACCCGAAAGCCAAATTCAACTTTGAATAAAGCAATATGAAATGAACTAGCATACAATCTCCTAAATATGAAGTATGTAAAGGTGACACCTGACAACATGGTAGCTTACATTGAGCGATGGATATCTATTGAGTATCTGTGACTTTCTTCTCAGGGAAGCAGTACCAATAGTGCTCCCAGCTGGCAAATCTGCCAAAGAAGATACAGTTAAGGATATAAACGCATCTCGGACATCCTCTCGCGGAAGGTTGCATGGAAGAATTGTCTTATCAGGTAAGTAGGTAGGGACATCTTTCATTGAGTGGACAGCAATGTCAATTTCACCATTGATTAGTGCCTCGTCTATTTCCTTGGTGAACAAGCCCTTCCCACCAATGTCCGCAAGGGGTTGGCTCAGTATTTTATCACCTGTTGTTTTTATAATTACAATCTGAATTGCCCCCTCTTCAGCTAGGTCTGGATGCGATGCCATGAGTTTGTCTCTAGTCTCATGAGCCTGAGCAAGTGCTAGTGGGCTATCCTATATCCAGAAAGAGTATCAATAACTCACGAAAAATACATATAAGTTGTATAGAGAAACATATGGCACAAGATTTTGAAAATAAACCCATCAATATGAAACTAATACATACTGTAAAATGAAGGATATTGAGACATATACAATCAATCAACCGCAAGGGACAATTAAAATAGCACCTTTTGCTCTAAGAAAAACCTTGAGAAAGATTAAAACTTTTAAGAAATCTAACCAATTGCTGACGCAATTGAGCACAACTAAATGTAGCAATTCACAAAAAGAAAACAGAGATGAGTGGTGTCATTGAGCTAAATTCAAGTTACATTCTGAAATGGGAGCAAACCCACAAGTAAGAAATCGGCAATAACAGGAAAAGTGTACCTCCCTCGGGTGCCAATTCTGATTAGCGCCAGTTTGGCCTTCTGGGTCTGCTGCTCAACAGCGACAGAGGCCCTTGGGATCCCAACTGCACTGTGTTTTCTGATACAGACGGGAAAAGCTCGAGTCTTGAGGGAAGGCAAAGAGAAGCCAGGGACTGAGACGGAGCCGGCTCCTGCGAAGTTGATTGAAGATAAAGTCAAAAGAGAAGAAGAACAAAGGGTCTCCATGGCCACCAAATCTTTCAGAGAGAGGGAGAGAAAGTGAGGGGCGAAGGAGATGGGGATTGGTTCGGGTTTCAAGTTTGAAACTTTGATGAGATTTTGTCTGAGGTTGGTTGTTGATGATGGATAGGATTAGGATAATAGAGGGAATTTGAGATTGCACTGCAGGCAGGGTATGGCTGGCTCCTCCAATAGTCCGGTTTCTTATCAACTTCACATGGTTTTGGCCTATTGCTAATAAAATAAAATAACGCTTGCCACGTTTCTTTTTCTTTTTTGGATCGTCCCCCTCTCTCTGGGCTTCAACTTTTGAATGCAGATGCTTCACTGTGGCCCATATCCCTACCCATTCAAATTAATCGTAAAATAAAAAATAAAATAAAAATTCAACCAAATCCATCACGAGCGAGCGAGATCTCCTTCAACCTTTTATTAAATAAATAAAAAGCCCACATCAAAATAGAAGACAAACAAAGTTCCTGCGAAAATAAAATTAACCAAAAAAGAAAAAAACATATATTAATAATTTATTACACACTAATTTTAGAGAGGGAGAGACGATTACAGTACATAAACATTCGTTTTAGGTTGGAGAAGGTGGTTAAGTAAGCTGTTGATTGGGAAAAAGTCCCCCCTCAAGCCTGTTGCAATCCACCAAGTAGGCAAACCCGTAAGCCAAGTTCTTCAAGGTGGCCTCGTGCAGCTCCGGATCTGACGTCCCAGTCGCGTCAGTTGAGAAAAACACTCGGAAGCCTCTAACGAAGGCTTCACGCGCCGTCGTTTCGCAGCACAAGTTGGTCATGACGCCGGTGACGATGAGCTCCTCCACGCCCCTCTCCTGCAAGTATTCCTGGAGGCGCGTGTTCCTGAAGGCGCTGTACGTGTTCTTGTGGACGACGTGGTCCTGGGCGTCGGGGTTGAGCTCGGGCATGAGGTGGGATTCGGGGGTGCCGTCGAAGATGAGGTCGCCGCGCCACCACTCGTCGAGCATGCCGTAGTCGGAGGGGGACTTGTGAGAGTGGCGGGTGAAGATGACGGGGATGGAGGCGCGTCGGCAGAGGCGGATGGTGGTGAGGAGGTTTTGGAGGATGGGCTGGGCGATGGAGGAGAAGTAGTTCTGCATGTCGATGACTAGAAGAGCTGCCACTTTTGGATTTGGGTTTCTTTTTCTGATGTCGTATTTTTCGTATGAGGAGGAGGAGGCCATAGTTTTAGAATTGAGAAATGAGTGATTGAGTGATTGAGTTGAGCTCAGCGTTTGAGAATTAATTAAAGGGTTAATTTCTTGTCTTGTCTCGTCTGTCTGTGTGGGTCTGGGCCATGGTTATGCTCTCTCTCTCTCTCTCTCTCTCTCTGCTTGCTTGCTTGGTTGCTTCTATGGTGTTCCAGAGTTCACTGTGAAAAATTTACTTGTTCACCCTCCCTCCCACTACATAAGTATACGTGGCTAAATATGGCTGGGCCACGCCAGGCCACCCATTTTGTTTTTAGTCTTTTAATTTTATGAAAAAGAAAAGAGGTGAAAGGTCAAGATCCTTCTGGAGACTTCCTCCATCGTCGTCACCAGTCAGTCACGACACCACAATGGCACCATGGGCATGTGATTTCCTCCTTTTATATTGTAAATGAGATGAGAGAGAGATCCATGATTGAGGGCCGCCTCCTGTTCTGCTCCTGTGTTCCCGCGAAACACAGAGAGAGAGAGAGAGAGATCAGATATACAATACATACATATATAATTACTATTAATAATGTCGTATTTGCTACCTCACCTGCACTCAGGTTGGGCCGTGGACCAGGCCATTCTTGCTGAGGAAGAACGTGTCGTCGTCATCCGATTCGGCCATGACTGGGACGACACTTGCATGCAGGTAAATTCAATTCAATTCCCTCGCTTCCCTTCCTTTTTTTCAAAACTCTCTTTCATTTAATTCAATTTAATTTATTTAACTGATTGCCTTAGATTTGATAAATATTGCTTGCTTCATTCTTCTTAATTATGTGCTTGTTTTCTTCTTAAACCAAAAAGAAATTCAACAAATACGGATTACGGACGGACTGAGGGAGGGGAGGGGAGGGGAGAGGGGGGAGGAGGGCCATTACAAATACAAGTTACAATCTGGGCTCATTACAAATACTTTTGAAAGTTTAGGGACCTACTTAGGAAGAAAAAACAATTTGGGTACCAAAGTGGGACAAACATACAAGTTCAGGGGGCAGTTTCAAAATAATCCAAAAAAATGTGTTAATTAATTGGTAGATTTTTCTCTCTGAGACGAGAGAAAGCCAGAAAGGTTGGGGACTCGGGGCACTACTCTTGTGAGAGAACTAGAAGAGAGCGAGGAACGATGTCGTATTTGCTGCCCCACCTCCACTCTGGATGGGCCGTCGATCAGGCCATCCTTGCTGAGGAGGAGCGTCTCGTCCTCATCCGCTTCGGCCACGACTGGGACGAGACCTGTATGCAGGTAGGTTCCAACTCCCCCCTCTGCAACTTTCACTAACCCTAAACCCCCAATTCCCTTTTTCTGTTCTTTTTTCTTGTTTTTTATTTATGTTTTTGATGAATTAAGCCATTCAATTATTTAGAAAATTCGTAATTTTGAGGATAGATAGACAACAAACGAGTAATTATTCTTTAGCAAATATGTGGCTCTCTTTCTTTAGGGTTTATTTCGTTCATATACCTTGAAGACCTGGTATAAATCTTTCACCTTTGATCTATGCTTGCAGATTGAGGTAGTTCATGTCACATTTTTTCACCTTTTAATTTACTTGGAAGTTGGAATTTCTTTTAAGGGAAATTAGAAGAAAATAAATGTTGCAAAGACTAATCTGGGTTAATTTTAGTCTAATCTCAAAATTTGATAGTCCAAAATGACTCCTAATATAATCTAAACCGTAGATCGATTTATAATCACATTTTGATCCCTGTATGAATTGAACCCTGTTTTTGAATGCTGCTGGTTAATTTCTTATTTGTTATCTTGTCCTGTTGATTAGATGGATGAAGTGCTTGCTTCAGTTGCTGAGACACTCAAAAACTTTGCTGTGATTTACCTTGTCGATATCACGGAGGTTCCTGATTTCAACACAATGTATGAGCTCTATGACCCATCCACTGTCATGTTCTTTTTCAGAAACAAGCACATTATGATTGACCTTGGCACTGGGAACAACAACAAGATCAACTGGGCTCTCAAGGACAAGCAAGAGTTCATTGACATTGTTGAGACGGTGTACCGTGGGGCAAGGAAGGGGCGCGGTCTGGTCATTGCTCCCAAAGATTACTCCACCAAGTACCGTTACTAAGCCCTGCTGCTGAAAATGTAATTCATTTCAGACAAAACCTTCTAGTTTGGATGGAGTTACGTTGACCTTTTATAGGTGATTTAGGGAAGCTAATGTATCTGAATGTTTTCTATGCATACTGCATTTAATTGTTTCTCATGCCGACTGGATGGGGTGGGCAAATGTTTGTTATTCAGCGTGTTTGGTGTGTGTTCCAGAGATATCCTTTATGAACCAAACTATCTATTTATAAAATGTCGTGTTGATAATTCTATTTGGCTGATTCTTTTGCAAGAGAAATGACTGTGGAAGGATAATAAAGCTAGTTCTAGTAACAAGGGAGATAGTAAAAAATGCCAATGGTGCTTTAGATTTTCATTATTATATTATATGTATATATTTAGTATAATTATGAAATGTGTGTCCTAAGTTTGCCTACTTTTAATGGCATCTACAAGTCCCACAATGACCATGCCAATGATGTACCAAGTGATGGCCGCCAATATGATCTGTAACCAAGAACTGTTGACTATCTCCAATGCGAAAGAGCCATATATATGTTCCGTTAATCCACCACCACCATTACCTACAGCGCGCCCGTCTCCTTGTGACTGTGATTGACCAACAACGGCAGCCATCAATATTGCTGGTGCCATTGGAGCCAACCATTTAATGGGGTTGGGCTTGGGTTTCCTCTGTACTGATCTATCATCTTTGTCGACATTCCGTCGTTTATGAGCAGGTGAAGGCTGTGATGAGTTGGAGGGGTTGTTCTGAGTTGATGAGGAGGCTGTTGCTGCTGCTGCATGAGGAAGAGCATTGGTTAATGGTTTCCAATAGTCACCGTCCTCCTCTTTGGATGATGGTGGGTTTAATGGCCGGACGGGTCTTGTGCGCCGCTGATATCTGCCCTGTTTCCTAGCAGCCGCTGCCTCTCGGAGGAGGTTGCTGATATCCCTGTGGTTGGAATGGGATGAATATGTAGGGCCAATGGATGATTGGGTAAAGTTTTGGAGAGATGTGGACTGATGATGAGCTGAGGTTGAATAGGGGGTTTTCCAGTACAACCAGTTGGAGATTGATCTGATGGCTTGAATTGCTGACAGTCTTGCTTCTCTTTGAAGGTCCGTCTCCTGAAAGTTGAATGAAACCATAGCATGCACATGTACATGTACACAGTACACGTACTAAATAATTGCTACTCATTCATACATTAGAATTAGATAGACAGAACTGAATGGAATGGAAAGTTAGCAACTAACACTGGAAGTCTGTGTAGAGGAAGCTTTTTGTTTTGCTGCATCCTGGAATCTGGTCTGGAATTTTTTGAGATCAACAAAAATGTTGGAGACACGGGCACCTGCTGTGTTCCCCATGCCTATTCTTACACTGCCTCGAGGCTGCTTGGACATTAGAAATTCCAGAGCTGCTAGGTTTGATCGCTCCACAATCCTATTAATATATATGCTGCTATCAGCAACTTGATTGAAGCAAGCAAAATGTATCCACATATGTGTTTTAGAGAGAGAGAGAGAGAGAGAGAGAGAGAGATACTAAATAAGTAAAGACACTGACGAGATGCAATCAACAGGACAAGCCTGAATGGCCTCTTGGATTTTGGATTCAGGATCAGCCCACTGTCCAACAACCCTGGCTCTTCCATACACTGATTCGATTGCGAAAGTATTTTCAGCGCATAAGGCGCATTTCAAGCACCCAATGCACTTGACTTCATCCACAAAAACAGCTCTTTCTTCGCTTTCTGAACCAAACCAAACTGAGTATATTGGTTTCCCTGAGTACCCTCGAAGCTCCGCAATTTTCGCTTGCTCCTGCACCACCCATATAGATATACATATCCATGCTCTTCTTCTTATAAAATTAAAAGGGAACTAATCAATAAATTAATTAATAGCTTATATACCTTATCATAAGCTGAACGTGAATTAGGATCAGAGAGAAGAGCATATGCTTCATTGAGGATGATAGCCATGTCATGCCCTGCTGGCCCTGCGATATCCGGGTGGCACCGCTTCTGCAGCGTCCGGTACGCTCTTTTGATCTCAGATGGATCGCAACTGCTATCGATCCCCATCAGCTCATACAGATCAAACTCTGTGATACCACCACCACTACTAGTACCACTACCAGCAGAATAACAAGCAACCTTCCTCCTCCTGCATGATCCAATCATGCTGCTGCTAGCCTTATAACAGTAATCATAATTATGAAATACTTTTGTTATAACATTTGAAGTGTTTGTGGTTGATCTAATTGGGGAGCTGCTGCTGCTGCTGCATCTGGTTACAGCATTTGAACCACAACCACTAGTATAAAACAGAGGAACAAGAGGAAGGCATGCTCCTGCTGCTGCAGCCATTTCTTCTGATGTTAAGTATTCACCAATTCTTTCTTTCTTTCTACTTTGTAGATAAGACGATCTAACACTTCAAAACACAGACAGAGAAATAAGAGGTGGAGGATTTTACAGCATGGACACTAGCTACTTACTTGTTCTACATTCATTCTATATAAATAATTTCTTTTTTAAAAAAAATTTAAAGGACGATTGGGGAGGGACGAGAGCTCCTCCAAGTCCATGATCAAGATATTTTGGTAGAGAAAGAGAGAGCCAGGACAAATAATATGAGATATTTTCTTTCTTCAGTTCTCCTATCGCTTTCGCTTAATCTCCTTGATCTACGGAACTTCAGCTTCACCCCATGTGATTGAGAAAACTCCCATTTCGATTTATTTTAAAAAAATTGTAAAAAACCAAATGAAGACTAGAGGTACCAAAATAAATGAGACCAACAAATTAGGAAAAAATAAAATAAAATCGGTTGCCCCCATGCAGGATCGAACTACAGACCTTCAGTTTACAAGACTGACGCTCTACCACTGAGCTATAGGGGCTCCTTGATGCCAATATTATTTAATTACTTTCTTATACAGTTAGTTCAAAAAAAAAGGGATCCTTTTTATACCCACGGAGACGCAGGCAGTCGGGTAGACTCTAGAGACAGACAGTGTTGGGAATAGAAAGAGTAGTAAATACAGAGAGAGAGATGGAGAAGACGGTGAGCGTGAACGTGAGAGCGGAGATGGAGAAGCTGAGCCCGGAGCAGTTGAAGGCAGTCAAGGAACAAACTGATTTGGAAGTCAATCTTCTTCAGGACTCCCTCAACAACATCCGTGCAGCCACCACTCGCCTCGAGATCGCCTCCTCCGCTCTCCACGACCTCTCCCTCCGCCCTCAGGGCAAGAAGATGCTCGTCCCTCTTACGGCGTCCCTTTATGTCCCCGGCACCCTCCACGACGCCCACCAAGTCCTCGTCGACGTCGGCACCGGTTACTTCATCGAGAAAACCATGCCTCAGGCCAAAGATTACTGCGAACGTAAGATCAGCTTGCTCAAATCGAATTTTGACCAGCTTGTCGAGGTACGCTCTCAAGTTTTCGTTTTTATCAGTTTCTAACTTGCAATTTCTTCCAAATTTATATTTCAATTTTGAGTAAAACTCCCTTGATTTTAATTCCATTAATTTATTTTGTGGTTTGATTTCTGAACCTAACCATGACATTTTTCCCAAAAAGCCGAGACTTTGGTGAAGAACTTGTTCTACTTCGATTCTAAAATTATATAACTGGTACCTGACTCCATTTCTTTGCGATAAAAAGCCTAAACTTTGGTCACTGCTGCTAGGTTTGGGGATTTGTCTTTTTACAAATTGTGCAGTGAGCAAATGCGTTAAAATTGTTTGGGGGATTTGATTGTGTATATTTCATTTCGCTTGTGTTTAATTTGATAGCTAAAGGAAAAACCTAAAAATGTTTGCTTTTGGGGATTGAATGAGGGCTCTGATCTGATATATAATTTAGCTGTTCATCTCTTTCTTATTCATAAGGAACTCACTTATTCTGGTTGGGAATTTTCTTTTCACGTTCCAATTTGTTTGGTTTGATTCCTTTTGTTTTGCTGTTGACTTCCATTTCCATTTAAGAAAACATGAGTTCAATTTAACGTGCAGGTTGCTTCTAAAAAGAAGAGCATCTCGGATGAAGCTGGGGCAGTTTTGCAAGCCAAGTTGAAGCAGTTGGCTCCTGCAACATAGTAGGAGGGGGGTAGCTGATGATTTTTGTCATGTTTGTTTGTTAAGTTATGATGTTGCATTCAGAGATGGTGTTCTAGTGTACTGGCTTTGGTTTGGTGGACAGACAAACAAGTGATGTTTTGTTCCTCTTTTTTTTTTTTCAATTATATATTTTTGCAGTAGAAGTGATTTCCCAATCTCAAATTGCATTATTAAAAAAAAAAAAAAAAGTGGTCCTTTTGAATCGAGCAGCACTAATGCTGTGGTGTGGTGGTGTGGAACTACTTGAAAGTTGCTTCTTTACAAAACTATACTAGTTTCAGCTATTGAGTTTTAACTTGAAAGAATAGAAACTGCTTTCATCTTCTTCTTCTCTTGAGTCGAAAGATTACTACATTCCAAGCCTTGAACTTGTTCAGAAGACCAGCTTTCATACCTGTAGGCTGTACCCTCCCTGTGATGCGTATACGAATACTTTGGGGAAGGCCCCGACGAGTCATGATGTTGGGATTAAATTGTCGTGAGGCCCCCAACGAGTCACGATGTTGGGATTAAATTGTCGCTTCAGTGTCTAATTTATTGAGTTGAGTTCAAGGCCCTGAAGAGTCACGATGTTGGGATTAAATTGTTGCTTCAATGTCTAATTTAGTAAGTTGAGTTCAAGGCCCCAATGAGTCACGATGTTCGGATTAAATTGTAGCTTCAGTGTCTAATTTAATAAGTTCAGTCTACAATTACCGAGTTACTTATTCAATTTAGTAAATTTAAACCCCCAAATTGTAGCTTCCGTGTCTAATTTAAGTATCTGCTTAACATGGTCCCTGACCACGACATTGACATTGAGGAGCTGGTGAGGACCTGCTTTCAAGTGAAAGCATGTGGAGGGTTTAATGAATTCTTTTAATGCCAAAAGTGCCCTAGTTTATTTTCTTTAATGACTACGCTTGTCCCTCAGGTTACACGATCACTCCTGTTCTCTCCAGTCCTCTTGTCTTCCTATTTTCTCAACCTCTGCCGTCGTCACCAGACTCACCACCCAACTGCCAGCCCTCTGCCTTCCTGCCAGATCTCCCGCTCCGGCCATCGCTCTGCTTTTCGTTCATCTCTCGCTGCCGTCGAACGCCAAAAACAAAGAGGCGAAAATTCCCCCTTCCGCTGGTAAGAACAAACTCCAGTCAATTACTTGAATCCTCTCATACATGCCACTCTTAGATCCTTCTTAGCAAAAGGAAACTGAGCTGTTATTGCCTCCATAAATCCCTATATGGAGCTTCTTACTTGATTTTTTGTTTAATTATACTTGTTGCTGGGATTCGAAAGCTCACCCACTTGACGGAGGCTGGAGCTAAACAACACCAGGGTAATTCAGAATGCAAAAAGAATAATTTCAATCAATCGACATCAGGTAATCTTTGTTCAAAGATGATCTTTTTCTTTTTGGTAATTGACAATAATCCCCTGTTTGGTTGCTGAGGAAATCAAACAATTGGAATTTTGAAATTTGATTGATCCACTGTATGACTTTTTTGTATTTCGCTGAGGGGAGGTGATTTGTCAGATTTGATGCATTTGTAATTGAAAAGAAAAAGGTTTTCTGGTTGGTTGCTTGATAATATAGAAAAAGAAGAGAAATTTGAAAAACTGCATTAGGTTTTCTTGTTATTCTGAAATTGAAAATAAAATGACGAAAAAAAATGCTTCATTCAACTTAAAGCCTAAATTTTATTCCCTTATCAGATTTATTGAAGGTGGTTGCAACTTCAAATGTTAGATCATAAATCATTTTGATGCATACAGTATTGGTTGTTGTCTACACTCTACGTACAAGTGTAAAGAAGACTACTAAATATGTAAAAAAAATGCTACTCAATTATTGGAAGGAAGGGGTTGAAGCAATTCTTGGTTTAATAGGGTTAGGGCTTTTAGGACTTACATGGGACAAAAACCCAATGTTGAGCAGTTCCTTGGCTCCTTTACATATTTCTTGCATTTCTTGTTTTGTTCAAAATATGCATGTATGATTTCGTAGTTGATACCATGAAAGAGCTTCTATAAGATCTTTAGCATCCTGGTAATTTCATGAAGTCTCTGAACTTTTCCTAACCGTTTTAATCTTCTTCTGTGCAGAATATGTCATTCTTGAAGCATGTTTGGGGTGATGCTGAGAGACAATTTTGGGCTTCAATATCACATAGTGGTTTAACTTTTCCAGGTCTGAAGTAAAACCCAAAAACTTTCTTTATTTCTTCACTACAGCTTCCAGACAAAGATTGGCAGAATTTCATTGAGGCAGTTATTCCTCTTAGGTCTCATTACAGTACACCAGAGCCAAAGATCAATCCGCTCTTTTGTAACAAGCATGGCAGTAGACTTCAGTTACACAGCCTGCAGACAGCTGTCACAGATGTTTGCGGCAATAATCTTTTTTCACGGTTCTGAATACATTTTAGCAGTTGGCATTCACGGGAAATCAAATGTCACTCTGAAATCTCTTCTGATCAGCAAAAATTATCTGGTTGCAATGATTTTTTCCTTGCTGGAGTACTTAATTGAATATATTTTGTTCCCTGGTATGAAGGAACACTGGTGGGTCAGCAACTGGGGCCTTGGAATGCTTATAATAGGGGAAATCATTCGGAAGATGGCAATAATTACAGCTGGTCGGTCCTTCACACATCTCATCAGGGTTCATCACTCAGAGCATCACCAATTGATTACAAATGGAATTTATAGAGTTGTTCGGCATCCTGGTTACTGTGGTTTCTTCATATGGTCAGTGGGCACACAGATAATGCTTTGTAATCCCATATCAACAATTGCATTTACACTTGTAGTTTGGCGCTTCTTTTCCCAAAGAATACCGTATGAAGAGTATTTCTTGAGGCAGTTTTTTGGGTTGCAGTACGAGGAATATGCCAGACAAGTTCCTGCCGGGGTGCCTTTTATAAAGTGAAGATCCGAGGGATTCTGTGGGAAGGGTTGAATTCCTGTTGCCTCGCTCATCTTGCTTCTGCTAGATCGTAGAATAGTGGTGTCTTCTTTAGCTGATAAATGGGTTGCAGGTGAGACTGAGAATGTATCAGCCAATGTTTTGTAAGACTTGTCCATGAGACTTAAATTCACATGAAAACTTAACATTTTTAATCTATATGTTTGCACACGCAGACAATGCGTTGTTGGTGTTTGGTTTCCACCACATAAGATTACTGTTTGAAGCCCAACCATCATCATGCGAAGGTTGACAAATAGATTATAAGCCTATAGTATAGCCGCGCGGCTATTTAAATGGTACAGGCGGCCGGCTATAATCGGTGTTTTTATTTGTTTTTAAAAATAGTATAGTCGCCCGGCGATACTTAATTTAACACGTGGCGCTCACTCGGCGGACGGTCCACTTTTTTATAATAAATAGTATAACCGCGGCTATACCCAGCAACATAGTATAGCCGAGTGGCTATACAGTTTTTACACGTGGCACATAGACCCTGTGTAGCTACTCTGGTTTTTTAAATAAACACTATTGCCGACCGGCTATACTCAATTTTCTTAAATATAATCTCTTTAAATCGTATAGCCGGGCGGCCATACTACGAATTTGTTAAAAAAAAATAGTATAGCCGGTGGCTATACTTATTTTTGACACATGGCGATGAATCAATAGAGCGTCCATCTTTTTTAATTAAAAAATAGTATCGCCGAACGGCTATACGAGGTGTTTTTTGTTTTTAAATAAAATATACTTGTTTTTGACACATGGCGCCTAATCGTTGGTGTGTCCTCTTTTCATATATATTAAAAATAGTATAGCCGACCGGTTATACTTAGTTTTTTAAAAAAATTGAATACTCTTTTACACGTGGGCGCCTACACGCTGTGTGACTGCTCTTTTTTCTTTTTTGGTAAATAGCCGTGCGGCGATATTCGATTTTTTACTAAATTAACTAAGTACACCCTATGATCTAAGTAGACCATAATATTTAAATCAAAATATAAAATTAACTAAATACATTCTATTTAACTATCAAAAATACCCCTAGTACACCCTATTTAAATACATTTTAAAACTAATAATACATATTTACAAATGAAATAATTAAAAAGATTATTTATAAAAATAAAATACTTTAAGAAAAAGAACTCCATCAGCACTCTGTATGTAATGATTTAAGATTAATGATGGAGCAGGTGTTTTTGGAGTAAATCAAGTTATCCACAAACTTTCCAGAAGGGTACTACCACCAAATTTATCAATTGTCTTCCCTTCAGATTGTGGGTTGGATTCAACATCCTCTACATTATTTTTCTTGCGTTTACCTAGAGAAGAGTTAGAGCTGGCTCTATCTTTCTTTTTATGAAACAGAAAGTTGCACGGATTCTTTTCCTCTGCAGATTTAGTGTTGCCTTTCTCCTAAATACTCGTTGCTTTCTCAGATGAACTCTTAGATCGGGCTACTGAACGTACTTCATTTCCAGATGAAGATTTTTTGAACTTCTCAACTGAAAGAAAAACTGTCTAAATTAATTTTCTCCCCATCATAGGCTTTTGGAGTACTATTTAGCTCAAGTTCTGCTGATTGTCATTCAACATCCTTGCTTCTTGATGCTCTGACTTTGGGCATTACAAGGACTGGAAAATTGACTGGAAAATCTTTTCAATTGACTAGAAATAATTGAAAAGTTTTGTTTGATTAGGGTTGAATATGGTGAGTATGGTGTACTTATTAAAATTTTATTTGTTTCACAATTCAATATATATATTTGGGTCATTTTATATTAGAATAAACTAGTAATTCAATAAATATTTTGGTAGTAGGGTGTACTCAGTTAATTTTGGAGTTTGTTTAGCATTACTTTTTTTTTATTTTCTTTAATAAATAGTATAGCCGAACAGCTACACTCTATTTTATACATATATATACGTACATATGTACATACGTATTTTTCAATAATGTATTCGTGTTCTATATACGTCTCACGTTTTTTAAAAAAAAAGTACAATATTCGTATTGTTATGTATTTCTAATGTTTTATATACACATTTTTAAAATATAACGCATTTAAATAGTATGGCCGTGCGGCTATACTACAAATTTTGTTAAAAAATAGTATAGTTTTTGACACGCGGCGCCGAATCGATAGAGGGTCATTTTTTAAAAAATAGTACGGCTGCGCAGCTATACTCTGTTTTTAATTTTTTTTTTTAATAGACTTGTTTTTTTACACATGGCGCCTAATCGTCAGGGGTCCCTTTTTTTTATATAAAAAATAGTATTTTATTTTTTAAAAACAGTATAGCCGAACGGCTGTACTATCTGCGGCTGCACTGTTTTTTCCAGTAGTATAGCCGTGCGGCTATACTTGGTTTTTCCCTAATTTTTTAAAAATTGTAAAGCTGGGCGGCGTTATCCTTTTTTTAAGTATCTTTAATAAATAATATAGGCGAGCAACTATAGTCTATCATATTATATATATATATATATATGTACTTGCATATTTTTCAATTATACATTCATGCTCTATACATGTCTCAAGTTTTTTTAGAAAGCAAACATACAATATTTGTCTTGTACATGTATGTACGTATTTCTAATATTTTATACACATATTTTTTAAATAGTATATCTGTTCGGCTATATTACAATTTGTTTTTAAAAAATAGTATAGCCGATCGGCAATACTTATTTTTGACATGTGGCGCCTAATCAATAGAGGGTCCTCTTTTTAAATTTAAAAGAGTACAGCTGATCGGCTATATTCCGTGTTTTTAATATTTTTTTTAAAAAAATAGACTTGTTTTTGACATATGGCGCTTAATTGTTGGCGGGTCCTCTGTATATATAGATATATACACGAATGGTTATACTCAATTTTTTTAATTTTGTTGCAAACTATATAGCCGCACCGCTCTACTATTTTATACGTGGGCGCCTAGGTGCTGTGCGGCTGCTCTGTTTTTTTTGTTGTTTTTTTTTTTAGTAAATAGTATAGATGTTTGGCTAGACTAAATTTTTTTCTAATTTCTTTTATAAAAAAATATTATAGTCGGCCGTCTTTACTATTTTTTTTAAAATTGTCTTTAATAAATAGTATAGATGAGCGGCTATAGTTTATTACATATTTATAAATATATATATATATATGTGTGTGTGTGTATGTATGTATTTTTCAATAATACATTCATGTTCTATACACGTCTCACATATTTTAAAATTCAAACGTACAATATTTGTTGTGTACATATATGTACATATTTCTAATGTTTTATACACATATTTTATAAATATAATGTATTTAAATAGTATAGCATGGCAGCTGTACTTGTTTTTGACATGTGGCGCCTAATCAATGGAGGGTCCTTTTTTAGTATAGCCGCACGGCTATAGACAGTGTTTTAATTTTTTTTTAAAAATAAATTTTTTTTTGACACATGGCGCCTAATGGTTTGGGATCCCCTTTTTTCATATAAAAAATAGTATAGCCGGACGGCTATACCTCTCGGTTAGGTTTTCATTTCCCCTTAAATTAGCATTAGGGCCGATGCCAGTATGACTAAAGGCCCGTTAAAAACTGAAAGGACCCGCACTGGAGTTAGAGGCTTCTTAAAGCCGCGCCACTCAGAATTAAGTGTGGGCCAACCCAACCCAGGCACGTAACGTAAGCAAAACCCAAACCCAGAGAAACAAAACGAGACACAGAGGAAAGGAGAGAGAGATGAGATCACCAAACGTATCCGTTGTCCGCCAAAGGCTTCTTTCTTTAGGTGAGGAACCGGCAACCACATCGTCTCCTCCGTTCAAGTTTTTTATTTTATGTGTGATGTTTGATGTTTTGATTCCAACAGTAAATCTATGTTTTTAGTTGTTTGAAAAGGTTGATGGGTTTCATCAATCTATTTTGAATGTTCAGTTGCATTTTTCTTATGAATTTTCCCATGTTCAAACTAGTTAACAAATCTTTAAATGCTTTTATGCTTGGTGATTCTGTTGTTTGGCCCTAAATTTTAATCGGGTGACCTAATTGTCTCTTCATTTTATACAATTCTGCAGCAGTTAAGTCTTCTTGATGGTTTTTCACATCCATGCTCTTTTTTCCCCTCATTTCAAATGCACAATCACTATTAGTAAGGGAAAATCCTTTTCTGGTACTGAGCGATTATGGGTGATTCACAAACCCAGGTTCTGAACCAATTCTCGATTACAATTCAACTCGACCTTGAATTGGTTTGGGTTGATATTCACTTGGTTAAACATCTACTGGAAAGAACATGCAACGTTTTCTCTCTCCATGCGTGTGTATGAGAGAGAGAGAGAGAGAGAGAGAGAGAGAGATAAAGAAAATTCATAATTTTTATTTTTGCAGGAATGTTTTGTTTTCTTTTTTCCTTAATGCTGAAATATTGAACAAAGAAATTGTTTTCTTATTTTTAAAAGCTTACTGAAAGAGAATTTTTTTTGCATAAATTACTCAATTTGCAGCAGGTTTTGTTTTGTGGATTGCCAAACATTACAATTTTGTCACCTTTGTTTGGTAACACTCTATGTACTTATAATGGTAATTCATACACAGTCGTTATTTTGGTAATAGGAACTGTGAAAGTAATGTTAATTTAAAATATATGGTAGCCATCTGACTTTCTCATACTCTCTCTTTGCGAATGGGTTCCCTCTTTCGACCTATTATTTATGTACTTACTCTCTCTTTTAATTGTTCAGTTGAATTAAGTACTTCAAGGTGCAGTTTGACTAACCCCAAGTTATATTAAAATCTGTCTTGATACGTGAGTAGTGATAAGTTAGGGTCTTTGCATTAATGGCAAACCGGCCTCAGTCGCTTGCGATGAATGTTTCATTCGGAGGTCCAAGTGCTTCAGTACCAAGCATTGCTGGAGCTCAAGCAAACAAGGATCGTAAAATGGCATCAGCAGAGCACTTGGTGCTGGACCTAAGTAATCCTGATCTTCGAGAAAATGCGCTTCTTGAACTTTCTAAGGTAACTTTGCAAGTTTTGATTCTGTCACTTCCTATATCAATCATGAAGGACCAAGTCTGAGGCGTAGTAGTTTTGGATGTTCTTGACTATTTTAAATGTAATTGCTTTATTTGCCTGCCTAATCTTATAACTAACAAAAGGAAAGTGCCCTTGTTTCCTGTAGCGAGAAACTGAT